TTTTTGGTAATTTTTTGAGGATTGACTAACAGGTAAGGTTTTTACCTTGAAAGGCATCATGTAAATGCTATCTTTTTTTATTTAAATGCAGTCACATTTAACCTCTTTTCCCCTCATCTTCACCTTTCATTCAGAAATTTGCTGTATCCCAAGGGATCTGGTATGGTTTCCCTTAGCGGATATTTGTAATGAAAAGGGTATGAGTATCAGTTACGTTGAAATTGCTTCCGGTGTTGTCACAATATATGAGCTTGCTAACATTTCAGATTACAGCTTCTATTCCAGTACATCATAATTGCAACAAAAGCTAGCATTATATAGCTCTTCACATCACCTAAACCAGAATTATTCCATATGAACCTGAAGTCAGTATGAAAGTATACAGATTGCTCAGATAGAATACTGTGAATTAAATAAAATAAAGAATATTTCTGCCAGTTCAGCAGTTGGAGGGACACAGCAGTCCATCTTACAGATCCTGACTGACAGACCTGAATGAAAAAATTAAATACTTCTGCTTAGCAGTATCTAAGTCATCCTTTAAATAATTTGGATCATCTGTGTTGTGAAGGAATATCTTTCTTAGATAAAACTGAGGCTTAAGACAATAGATAGTACTTGTGGTTAGGTTCCAAAGGAACACTGTGTCACAGTTCCCTGTAGGTAAACCTAAGTGCATTTAAATTCAGGCTGGAATTACAGATTACTCATGACTTGACCTCTTAAAGGAACAGATAGGAATCTTAAAGGAACAGATAGGAATCTTGTGTATAAACATTTTTCAAATCAGCTTTTCTCTACTAGCAAAAATATTCTGTCTGGCTTAGGTCAGGAGACCCTTCATAATCAGATGTATTTAGTGAAAGAGGCGTAAGACTGTTAAAATACTGGAAGAGGGAGAAAAGTGGTACAAATATGTTCAGAACTGTGAAGGTATTTAGAAGGATTCCTAGTTTGATAGACCACTAGAAGTATTGGATGGACAGAAAAGATGTTTAAAAATCGAAGCCATGCTTCATTCAGCCTCTGACCTTTTGAAGGTGTATGTCAAGTCTAAATTTAACTTTTGAGTTTGTTTATCTTTGACCTTGTCTCGTTCAGCTTTTCTTTCTGCCATTCTGTTTGCCATGATACTGAGTTTGCTAAGGTGGAGGGGAATATGCCTGACTTGTAGTTAATGGTTTTTAGCATTCATCATAGGGGAACTGTGCTTAGGCTGTACAGTATATATGTCTAAAATAATAAATTCTGGAGTAGGCGTTTTTGTCTGTTACCTGAATTTTGGGAATTTTTGTATTTGAATTTGAAAGGAATTGCTATAGGTTGGGCTTTGTCTTACATTGCTTGCTTAGTGCCTGAAGTGTTCTCTCTAGTTGAATAAAGTACTATGAACAAATGAACCTGAGAGGTCAGACTTTGCTCTTTGATCTGCTACATTTTGTAAGACTACGGACAATTCACTTATCACCATATCTTCATTCATTCTAAGTTCCCTGGTTCTGGATGGGTTCCTAACTTAGATGCATGTCACCTGTGTCAGTTTTCCATGTTATAAAATTGAGGAAATTTACACTGTCTTACCTTCTATTTTCTGTGATTCTAGATTGCAAATCTTTTGATATTCTTCTCTTATGATATCCGAAATGGAAACTAGTTTCAAGTTAGCAACTCATTGTTATGACTTTTTCAGGTGGCTCAAAACCAGAAGTGTCGTGTGGATCCCCTTCTTTGCCCAGTACTGTCAAACATGCTGGTAGATTAAATCAGGTAAACACCAAGTGTCCCTTTTGTTTGATCTTTTATTTTTTATATGGTTTAAAGTAATTAAGAATGACTTTCAGGGAAAACCTTTTATGTTGTGGAATGACATATTTCAGTTTTGTTGATGTGTGTATGTTTTTTATAGGGAGTGCTTATACATGAAGAAAAAAAGAAACAAAAAGGAAAAGTGTTTTTGAGTCCCCAGTCAGGTTTGTATCTCTTCATTTCAATTTAGAAACTGTGTAAAAGCAGTGTTGCCAGCAGGTTGAGGGCAGTGCTCTGCTCTGGTGAGAACTCACCTGGAGCACTGCATCCAGCTCTGGGGTCCCCAGCACAGGAAGGATATCAACCTGTTGAATCGAGTCCAGAAGAGGGACACAACAATGATTAGAGGGATGGAGCACCTTTCCTATGGACAGGCTGAGTATGTTGGGGTTGTTCAGCCTGGAGAAGAGAAGGCTCCAGGAAAACTTTATTTTGGCCTTTCAGTTATAGAAAGGGGCCTGTAAGAAAGGTGGGGACAAACTTCTTAGCAGGGACTGTTGCGATAGGACATGGGGTAACGGTCTAAAACTGAGAGTCAACTTTAAGATCAGATTAAAGGAAGAAGTCCTTCACAATGAGGGCGGTAAAACACTGGCACGGGTTGCCCAGAGAGGTGGTGGATGCCGAATCCTGGGGAGCATTCAAAGTCAGGTTGGGTGTGGCTCTGAGCAATCTGATCTAGTTAAAGATGTCCTTGCTCATGGTAGGGCAGTTAGACTAGATGACCTTTAGAGGTCCCTTCCAACTCAAACTATTCTATAATTATATGATTCTCCATCACTCCATATGGAAACTCTGCCTAATTTGCTGAACATAGTGGCAGTCTGGATAGATTGAAGACACCCTTTTTTTTTTTTTTCCAGCTGGAAACATGTACAATTTTTAAGTTTTGTTTTGGAAGCAAAACTTGGGCATAAAAATTCTGTGCACTTATTTTATTGTGAAGGATATGGTGGGTTTTTATCAATATCTCTTTCCTATTTTGGCACAGATGGGGTTCTTTGGTTATTCAGGGACAAAACATGGAGTGCTTTCTTGGGCATCTTCCTCAGAGTAATTGTCTAGAATTATACATGATAAAATAACTTAGGAGAGACAATCAAACTACATCCTTGGTCTGAGCTGCCAAAATGCAAACAAGTTAGAATTACATTTAAAAGTAGTAGTGAGATTATATTATAAAGGCCTTTATGTATTCTTTCTGGATCAGAGATGTTTTGCTTGAGATGCATGATTACAAATGTAGCTTCCTTACAGTAATTTCACATACTTATTAACAGGTACAATGAAGATTTTAAAAACAACTGGGTTTTTTTCAATTATTTTGAGTTTCTAGTACAACTCTGCAAACCTTTTAGCAGCTTGGGTTTATAATATACAAATCTCTACTGAGGCAGCTGAAGGGAGACCTAATTAGTTTTCCAAAAATTGTAAAGACTTTACTGCAATTAACTATCTCAAATTATCAGTTTTCTTGGGAAGACACAGTGGATTTTGTCTTCACTGCAAGGCTTTTTCAAATCTATATTTGGGGATTTTTAACACAAAGGGATCTGTCACTAGGTGTTTAGTTGAAAAAAATGCTGATTTTCAATTTTGTATTTTAATATTTCTTACTGTCCTTCAGCAGGTAATGATCTAAAATTGATCTGTGTGTCCTTTCCTTATAGTTTGACTTAACAGTAATTATCTCCTTTCTGATTCTTTCAGTTGGTTTATGCCTTGTCTTTTTTAAAAAAAAACAAAGAAAGAAAAAAACAATACCTTTAAAGTGTGATGCTTTCTTCCTCCCAATCTTAGGCAGCCTTTCCAATAAATACATGACTCAGGGAAAAGCCTCACAGAAGAAGACCCAACAAGAATCATGAGGGTTATTAAGCACTGGTAAATTGCAGTACAGGCCCATCATTCATTTAAAAGAAATGTCCTTGGCTAAAGCATCTGGATTCACAGGACAGCAGCACAGACAACATTCGACTTAAGTTTTGTTTTAGATTGCTAGTACAAGCAACTGTGGATTCTAATATGGAACCCTGCTCTTAAATAGATTGTTTAAACACTTTAATAGAAAGCCGTGATGTTTTGTATTTGTTTACTAGGTAAATCATCTAGAAAAGGGCAGGTACTAAAATGAACTGTTTTCAAGGTTTTGTTGTTCCACCTGACCATCTTAAACTGCACTAAAATTGTGTGCAAGCCAAATAAATTATATTTTCTTCAAAAATTAATTTTTTTGAAGGAGCAAATTATATTTATTAATGTTAATTGTTTACTGAATCCTTGTGTAAGTGTTTGAAATGTTTGTAGATTGGTACATTATCTTTAATTTCTGTAGAGAACTGAAAACATAGACACTAGTAAACATACGTAAAACAATCCCTGGCCAAGGAGCGCCGTTGAGATTTTGTGAGGTTTTTTTCTGTTCTGTGACTTCATGGGAGTTCATTTGCTGCTGTGCTTGTGTTCAAGCCGAAAAAAAGACTAAGAAACAGGTCTGTCCTGTTTTGTTGCTGCTAAGAATCTTTTTCAAGGCCTTGGGGATACAGACAAAAGGAATAGAAGTATTTTAAGGAATAGAGTTATTATATTTGGCAAATGGGGAAAAACACACGTCCGTTTTCATAGAATGTGAAGAGAATCCTTGTACCAGTCAAGAATTTACATTCATCAGTAGTATGAACTTGAGCTTTACTTGAAGTCCTTCCAGAGCTGGTAATGTACCATTTTGTCTTGTTCAGGAAAGAATAAATTACATGTTAAAATGGAAACCACTGTTAATTTATGAATCTGAAATAAATTAAAAAAAGAATCAGATTTAAGATCTTGTAATTTTTCTTAGGTTGTAGTTTTCAATGTTCCTGACATAAATGTAGAATTAATGATGAGTTATTAGAATTATCTTGTTTTAGAAATATCATGTTCAATTTTTTTTTCCTTGTCCATCTATTCTTATTAAAGTTGTAAACTAGAATTGCCAAAGTGGTCTTAAGGAACTGGATCCTAACTCGTGCTTTGGTTTTCATCCATCTGAAGTCAGCTATCTGTGAACTTCTAGATGTGCTACTTTCACAAAGAATTTGTTCTGTGTACTTTTCTAAACAAATTTTCAAGCAAAATATTAGCCAGCAACAAAGAGAAAATAATTCCAACTTTGTCTTCTATAGCATATTTCATCATCTGAAATAAAATCAGTTCTTCCCTCAAAAAGAAATTAATTATTGTAGTTTTTCAGTCATATATATAAAAAAAAAGGCTGACATGAATTCTGTGTGCTTTATTTAACCCTTTGTTCAGAGTTCCAGTTTTGCTGATGAGAATGAATTGTGTAAACCTCTAGGGGACTATGGCTTAATCTCAAATACAGAAGTTATTTTTAAAAGAAAAACATAATCAGATTTATGTATACTCACCCTTTTCTCTTTGTGATACTTTGTAGTTCAGTGGTGACATTTTCAACAGTGAAATTTCTAAACTTGCATCTGAATAAAAACTCATTCTGCAGATCCACGAGTCTTCTCATTTGAAGATGCTGTTTCCTTACGCAACTACTAATTCTATATAGTTGCTAATCTCATAGCCCTGAAGTGAAATGCCCAAACTTGGGATATATATTACAGACATTAAACTATTAAGCAATCCTTTGTTTGTTTAAAAAGTTTTTAAATACCACAGTCATAATTTACAGGATGTCTGACATAGAAGAAATGCAGTTGAGGAGGCACAGCATATATATCTGCTGGATTAAGTTGTAAAGTATAGGAGATTGATTGAAAATTAAAATTGGAGACCTGTAAGTTCTTCATAACAATTCTTGACATAGAAGATACCCTGTTTGCCTTATGAGAGTATGTTCTCAAGGGAGCAACTTTGCACATAGACACACTGCATTAGTAAAAAGTTTCTAGAAAAGGAATTATATTAAAAGTAACAGTAATAAAATAATAGTTTACAACTAAATTCATACTAATAAAATGTAGTAATAAATACTAATAAACAAATAGTTTTAGAAGACCTCTTTTGAGCCACTTGCATACTCTGTCCCTTTATGCCTGCATAAAGACTGTGAGTGATTATATTGGGTCTGGCTGAGCTGGAGTTCATTTCCCCACAGTAGCCCTCACAGTGCTGTGCTTTGCATTGGTAGCTAGAAGGGTGTTGATAACACACCACTGTTTTGGCTACTGCTGAGCACAGCATCAGCACTGTAACATTCCTTCCTCAGTCGAGGGCAAGATCCTGAGAGGGGACCCAAGTAGGCCAACTAACAAAAAGGGGTATTCCATACCATATGATGTCAGCTCAGATAGAAAAGCTGAGGCAAGGAGCAGGAAGGCAGGCAGTCATTGTCTCCAACGTGTCCTGAAGCCCTGCTGCTCGGGAGTGGCCGACCATCGCTGCTCATGGGAAGTAGAGAAAAAACCCTGCTATCTTTTGCTTTGCTTCACTTTTGTGCACGTAAGCTTACAGTTTGCTTTTTGCTTTAAATAAACTGCCTTATCCCAACCCAAAGTGCACACAGAGGTATCTTTGCTACAGCTGATATGTCAGCATTACATGATTATTAATTTTTGTTCTCTGCATTCCTGTTACATATTATGACATTTCCCAACACTTATTAGCATATATCCTTATAAGATCTCTGAGTGGCTTCACCAGGGGTCTCTGGTGGTCATTTCTGTCTGGAGCCCCCAAAGTTCTAAGTGACTGCCTTATGAACATCTTTAAGACAATACACCTGGTTACAGAGTAAGTGGGCGTTGCCGACCTGGCTGTTTTGGTCCCATTCTTCATTGTTTATTTACTTTGCTTGGCTAGTTTCTTTAAATTGCTTGGCTCAGCTATAGGTAATTTTCCATGGTACATTCTCTTGTACTAGTCCTGTTACACTTCAAAACTCTAGTATCAGGACTAAATGGTGTGTGGAGCAGAACGGAGACACTGTAAGCCATGCTCCCTTGCACAGGAGGGAATTTGGTGGTACTTTCTAGCTGATAAGCTGCACAGCAGCTGAAAACCAAGAGAGATAAAGGAAGACATCCCACTGTTGAATCAGCAACCACGGTGAAATCATTCTCCTTGGACTGATGCATTTCCCATCCCAAGGTTATCTCGGGTACTAACTGAGATATCCACCCCCAGGGTATGACCACTGCTCACTGAGTAAGATGTATGATTGGAGTCACTCAAGCTCTACCTAAACATAAGGAAATAATATAAAAGTGAGTTAAGAATAGGGGGAAATTAGGGAAGACTCCATCATAATTTTTGGGGTCAGTCAACAGGCTGAACCCTTCCTTTCGCCCATGGGGATGCCTATCAGGTAAGAACAGCGTTCTATGCACACTGAATTACTATCTTCAGCTAGCTTTTCTTTGGGATTAGAGCTCGTTAGTAGGTTGCTTTGAATTACTATATTGCTTTGAATACATTTTTGCAGTCAGATATTATCACCAGCAACCACTGAAACTTGCCCTGTTCGAATCCTGGGCTGCATCAAAAGCAGCATAGCCAGCAGGCTGAGGGAGATAATCCTGCCTCTCTGCTCTTCTCTGGTGAGACCTCACCCGGAGTGCTGTGTACAGTTCTGGTGTCCCCAACTTAAGAGCATGGAATTGTTGGAGCAAGTCCAGAAAAGGGCAACGAAGTTAGTAAGAGTACTGGAGCATCTCCCCTTCCAAGATAGGCTGAGAAAGTCGAGGCTGTTCAGCCTGGAGAAGAGAAGGTTGTGTGGAGAACTGAGTGACCTTCTAGTATCTAAAGGAGGTTTACAGGGAAGCCAGAGAGGGACTCTGTCAGGAACTGTAGTGATAGAACAAGGGGGGAAATTTAGATTAGATATTAGGAAGAAATTCTTTACTGTGAAGTTGGTGAAACACTGGGACAGGCTGCCCAAGCAGGCTGCAGATGTTTCAACCCTGGCAATGTTCAAAGCCAGGCTGGATAGGGCCTTCAGCAACCTGGTCTAGCGGATGGTGTCCTTGCCCATGGCAGGATACCAGGGCTGGATTATCTTTAAGGTCAATTCCAACCCCTTAACGTTCTGTATCAATAAAGATTGTTATTCCATAATCAGTTAACGTGAGTCCTTCAGGGGCGCCGACAGACTAATCAAACATTAAAGGATTCGAGAAAAACCCACCCTTTCCACGTGACACCCGGACAGCTGTTCTCGCCGCGTCCTCCGCGGGTGCACCCTGAACAGCAACGCGTCCGAGCCGCCCGGGCCTTTTATCGCAGCGCGCAGCCCCGCCGCCTGCGGGGCCCCGCCCGGGGCCGGGGGCGGAGCCGCCGCTCGTCAGAGCCGGGCCCGGCGGGGCGGTGCCGTGCGTGGTGCGTCAGTGCGGGCGGGCGGCCCTGCTCATGGCCGAGGGCGGTGGGCCATGGCCTCGTCCGTGGTGCGCGCCACGGTGCGCGCCGTCAGCAAGCGCAGGATCCAGGCGACCCGCGCCGCTCTCACCCTGGTTAGTGCCGCCGGTGGGCAGCGGGGCGGACCCGGGGCCGAGGCTCCTCACGGGTGCGCGAGCTGCGCCACGGCCTCCCGTCCCCGGCCCGGGGAGCGCGGCCGCCCCTGGCGACAGCGAGTGGGGACGAGGACGGGGCCGGGCTGCTTGGGCGGGCAGCGCCGGGCCGGGATCGGCGGGGCCGAAGCCCCCGCGGGGCGGCTGCGGCGGGCGATGCTCGGAGGAGAGCGCTGCGAGCGGCCTGGGGGGGCTGTCCTTCCCCCTTCGAGTTCAGAGGCTGCTTCTCCTCGCTAATCCCGCTGACAGAAGGTTCCCCGCGCCGGCTGGGGAACCGCAGAGTCCCAGGGCAGCACCAGAGCGGCCCTTCGTGCACGGGGCCTTGTTGCACAGGCACCCCAGGAGGTGTATTTTATGCATTTATTTAAAATTTTTTAAAAAAGGAAATGCATTACCTACCAAAGCTGACGAATAGGTTGTGTCCACGAAGGATTTATATCCTGTTGTTAATAATAAAGGAAGTGCATTCTGTACTAGCGGCCGTACTGGGGAGGCCACGCTTTAAAACTTGGTGTTCGGTCACGGGTTGGACTCGATGATCTCAGAGGTCTTTTCCAGCCTAATTGATCGTGAGAGGGGTCAGTGCAGAGGAAAGTACAGTCAGTTCCCTCCAGGAGCAGGGGCGGATTGTGTGCGCACACAGTTCAGTCGTTTGTCAGAGCAGGTAGTTCCTTTTCAGTAGTGGTTCTGTAACAAACGAAGAGTGGTAGCAGTAATTAGAAAAAATTTTCTACTGCAAGGCTATTTGTGGTTTGCTTTGTATGTTTAAGCCGGCTCAGTGTAAGAACTTCATCTTACTAATGCTTTTGCTTTTCTCAGTGTCTTAGAAACTTGTAGGCATGTGATGGAAATTTTAATGCTTGTGTTGTATTCTTGAATTTCTGCAACAACTAGATCTGCATGAACAGTGAATTTTATCTGCTGTAAAGTCACCCCCTAGGATAATGGGAAGAGAGAAGTAGGCCATAAGCCCTCCTGTGCCTAATTGAGAAGCTTCGCGGGTGCTGGTGGATGAGAAGCTGGACATGACCCAGCAATGTGCACTTGCAGACCAAAAAGTCAGTCATATCCTGGGCTCATCAAAAGCAGTGTGGCCAGCAGGGTGAAAGAGATGATTCTTCCCTTCTACTCTGCTCTGGTGAGACCCCACCAAAGTACCGCATTCAGCTCTAGTGCCCCCAACACAAAACAGACATGGAACTGTTGGAGCAGGTCCAGAGGAGGCCACGAAGTTGATAACGGGAGCGGAGCACCTCCCCTACCAACACAGGCCGAGAAAGTTGGGGCTGTTCTGCCTGGAGAAGAGAAGGTTACATGCAGACCTCGTGGCAACCTTCCACTATCCAGAGGGGGCCTGCAGGGAAGCCAGAGAGGGACTCTTTGTCAGGAACTGTAGTGATAGGACAAGGAGTAGAGGGTTCAGACTGAAAGAGGGAAATTTAGGTTAGATTTATGGAAGAAATTCTTCCTTGTGAGGGTGTTGAGGCACTAGAACAGATTGCCCAGCAAAGCTGTGAATGCTCTATCCCTGGCAATGTTTAAGAGTACATTGAATGGGGCACTGAGCAGCCTGGTCTAGTGGAAGGTTCCCTGCACGCAGCAGGTGGGTTGGATCGAGGTGATCTTTAAAGTCCCTTCCAACCCAAACCATTCTATGATTCTAACAACCAAACCCCCTACTTTTAAGCACCGCATTTCTTGAGGTGGGTGAGGAGGCAAGTGAAGAGTTATTGTGTTCTATATGGATTAGTTTCAACAGACATCTGTTTTACAGCAGAGTGTGTATCTTCAGATACACACAGGCATCAGTTTCAAGTAGAACACAGAATAGTCAATACTGATAGGTGGCTAATGCTGAAGGGGGACTTTGCAGATAGAAGACAAATGTAAACTAAGAAAATCTGAGTACACGGAGTTGGAATAAAATTTTTTTACAGTGAAATTAAGTACACTGCACACTTTAATACATGCAAACACAGCAAATAAACAAACAGAATAATTTCAAATTTATGTGTGTGGTTGTCTTTCAGACCCCATCTGCTGTTCAGAAGATAAAAGAGCTTCTGAAAGATAAACCTGAGCATGTAAGTATAGATAGACAGAGTCAGTCTGTACATTGTGCTAAGGTATTAGCACAGCTCAGCTCATGATTGCAAACGATTTCTGGCTAACTTAGAAGTTTGAAATAAACACTGAGGTGTTCATTAGTGATATTGACATCTTTTTTTTGGAGGGGAATGCATAACATTGTTTCTCTGTCAAGCTTCATTTTGTTATAAAATGAAATGTAGGAATGAAATGAAATGCAGGAAATAACCAACTGTAATGACATTTCACTGTACAGTTACTGTTGAGATTAAAAAAACTGAAGAAGTTTTAAGCTTCAGATATTTTTGAGCTACATTTTAATGAAGCCTTTTAGTACAGCACAGTGGTGACTTCTAGAGGGGAAAGAGATCTTCAGCTGTTGATATTAAGAAGTAATTTAAGTTCTTTTAGAAATTCTCACTGTGAAGTATGCAATAATAAAGTTATATTCATATGCATTAGAAAACATCTAATTCTTAGGAAACCTGCCAGACAATGTATTTTTCATGTAATCAGTGTTTCCCCAAATAACTAATTGAGCTTGTCATCTTTTCTTCTTCAGCAAAAGACACACAGAGTCTTCCTTTATAGCCATTGTAAAAAAAAAGCATTAGATTTTCTTTACTGTAAGTATTACTATTACAAGAAGAATTATTTCTCTTTTCTCTTTCCTACAAGGCCCATTGTTTGTTTTGCTTCCTGCACATCTGCAACTCATTAGACTATTTGTTCTAATGTTTTAAACCATCCTAAGGAGGCCTTGGGCCTACAAATTACATGGTCAGTCATTCCCTTGCTATGAATGGTGTTTACATTTTCCAGCGCATTACTGGTAGCAGTTCCTGTAGAGAAAGGTATTTAGTCTGAAAGGATCAGATGTAGTTTGTCTGAGAGCCCATTTGATGGCAGGTGATATGTTTTGATACATTTTTATCATAACATTAATTACAGAGATAGATAACAAAATTTGCCTCTTCAGTCATGAAGCACTGGTGTGTGGAAGGTGATACAGATACTTCTGAAAGATTGTTGTGCACAGATAGTTTTCGATTTCATTAAAACCTTTTCTCAGCGCTTTCCTTACAGATAAGCTCTTTTTGTCAGACTTGTTGAATGCCGTGTTACAAACATTGACTAGGTTAGCTTTTAAGGTCAATTAAAACAGTAAGCAAATATACATACTTGAAGGGATTGCTTTTTAGGTGAAACTGGCAATAAAGGTAGTGACGAAATCAAAGTTTTTTCAGAACTTCGGTTTGAATTACATTTTCTGATGGTGTCATTACAAGAGTTCTGTGAAAATCTATTAGCTGCCCTTGTCTGGTCTCACAGCTTTATAATTATGTTACCATCAATAATCTTTACGTAGTACCTGATTTAGCATCTGAGTAAACTTCAACTTAAAGTCACAAAAATACTGTCTTTGAAATTTGACTGTCTTTATGAGACCCGGTACCTACAAGGATGCCAACAACGTGTTATTTCAAAACTTTAACATCCTTTAAGGCTTGATCCACAGCAGCAAGTATCTGATGTTTTCTTTTACCTTGGCAGTCAAATTTGTAAAAGGGAAAACATGTTACCTCTTAATCCATTAAGGTAATTCACTTCTCTGTTAAGGCAGTGAAGAATAATAAATGTCAGCATTTTGTTGTTCTGCATACTTTTTAACTTGATGTTCCACAATAGGTTTTAAAAGAGAAGTCATGCATGTGGTGGTGGCTTTTTGTTGTCTTTTTTTTTTTAGGTGGGTGTGAAAGTGGGTGTTCGTACAAGGGGATGCAATGGACTTTCTTACACTTTAGAGTATACAAAATCAAAAGGAGACTCTGATGAAGAAGTAATTCAAGATGGTGAGTTTCTGATGCAGCAGAAAATCATTTGGTGGGGGGGGGCAAAACCCAATCATTCTGAGAGAAGAACATTTGTTTTTTCAAAGTTTTGGGTCATCTTGTTGGATTCACAGACTTTAAGAAGGGTATGAAATGGTTTACTGTCTGTATGCATGGGAATTGTGTACTGAAGCTGAGATTCGTTCACAGGTTCTACAGCTTATTTTCCTCAGTATCATTATTTTTTGTCCCCCATCACAATACAGACATGCATGTCCACACACAAGTAACGGTTCTAGACTGTTGCCAAACTTCTGTAGGTAGAGTGAAAACAGTGATGAAATTAGACCAGGGAAACCAAGTTATACTGGTAGTCTTCTTATTTAGCTCCTTTTTTTTAATCACCTGGCAAAAGAGAATTTCAAAGGGAATGATGGTTTTGCTGTATGTAATTCCTCTTTTTTTCTGTTATCTTCAAGGGGTTAGAGTGTTTATTGAGAAGAAGGCACAGCTGACACTTCTAGGAACTGAAATGGACTATATAGAAGATAAGCTGTCCAGTGAATTTGTTTTCAATAATCCAAACATCAAAGGAACATGTGGCTGTGGAGAAAGCTTTAACATCTGAAATCTCAGGACTACTTCTTTGACTTTGAACAGCCCAAAACACATACTATTACAACATTCAGAAGCAGATGTGTTTCCTTCAGGTTCGTAGCCTGTGTAAAGTGGGGATACTCTTAAGAAAAATAAATAATTTTGAAAATGTAAGTTGTGTGGTAAATTCCACCACTGATGTAGTTATCCTGTAATTTGT